CATGAGAAGGACTCTGAGTCCTTCTCATGCTGCTGGCTTTGGAGATGCAGAAAGAGACCATGAGCCAAGGGGTGCAGGTGGCCCCTAGAGACTGGTAAAGGGGAGGAAATGGATTCCTCCTTAGACTCTCCAGGAGGAATGTAGCATTGCTGATGCTTTCATTTTACCTGGGGAGACCCGTTTTGGACTTCTATCTTCACAACTGTAAGGTCATATATCATTTGTATATGGCAGCAATAGAAAACCAATACACTGATGGACAGTTTGATTTTGTCATGGGAAGACTTCATGGAAGTTAGCTGAGGCTTGACATGAGCAGGAGCCAGTCAAGTGAGACAGTGTGTTCACAAAAGTGTGAATGGTGGTCAGCAGGTGTGCACAGGACTGGAGGAAGATCTGGAGTGAAACTGAGGCCAAAGAATGCATGACTTCTCTGAGAAGGTGTTTCTCTACCCTTCAAAGTTGACAGTGAGGCTCTTTGATGTTAGAAGCTGTCCACTGGCGACATGGGCAAAGAAGATTGAGTGAGACCAGCATGGTGCCTGTCTCCATGGAATGTACGACCTACTGTACTTGGGACTTGCACCCAGATACATGAGCCCCAGCCTAATGCTCTTTCCCATGTATCTTCTAGCTCTCATATAAATAAAACTTTGGCTTTCCCTGCTGTTGACTTTGACAACATTCTTCTGGAGTATGTCCCCAGGGGTGAGCCCACCCTGCCCCAAACCTTGTTGTATCTGTTTATGGCATAGGTGGACAAAGGCTCTGGCTTTGGATACAGACTCAGGTTCCAAGTCAGTCCATCCTTGATCTTTTAGGAGGCTGGATGTTTTCCTTTCCTGAGTCTCATTTTCCTCATCTGTAGAATGGAGCAGTAAATCCCTCCATGCTAAGTGGTTTGGATGATTGGGGATAATGAGTCTACAGAGTCTTATGCAGAGTTGACCTTTAATTGGGACCTTTAATGAAAGTCTTAAGGTTAATCTTCTCATTGCATGCCCTATACTCCAAAGAAAACCTCTTAAAAAAATCAAAAAGTCTTAGACTATGCAAATCAAATATAAAAGGTGTTATTTTGCTTCTTTTACAAAAGTGCATATGGATGGAAATATTGCATTTTGGATCAGAAATGAGTCTGCTTCCTCTTTGCAGCATTTAAATGAAACCTTTCAGGAATACCTGCATCGTCCTGATGCCAAAGGAAAAATTTTCGATTTTATAGGAAAGAGCTAAAGTCATTACTTTTATGAAGCTTTGTAAATGTCATTCAAACACACCATCTTATTTTCATTTGCTTCTGAAGCCTTTACTTATGCAAATCATGACAAATGTTAAGGAAACCAGTGTTTCCCCCGGAATGCTAATAATATCACCACCAAGAAGGGAGGAAGATGACTGCCAAAGGGAAAATCTATATTGCAGCTCCTCGAGTCAGATAAAAATGAAGCTTCCAGAAAACCTCATTAATTAGGACTCCACTCATTTAGATATTGTGTTAAAAAGCAAAGGGACTGAAATGCATTTCCTTCTCTTATGGGGGAGGGTAAATTAAATTGCATAAACACAATTTCAGGGGAATGTTATTCCTCGACTGATTATATAAAACATTTAGCTTTCGGGCATCTTATGGTACTTTGTAATTATTAATTTTATTTATCAATTTACTTCTTCACTTTTTAATGTAGACATTCATTCATATATTCATTTGTTTGGCCACATTTTCACTCATGTATTCACTCAATAACCATTAAGAACTGCTAGATGCAAACTGCTGTGGTAAGCATCGTGGGAAATAGAAAGATGGATTAGCTGTGAATTTTGTTCTCAAGGAGTTCGGTAGTTTCAGAGGAGCCACAAAGTAACCGCCTAAGAAAGACCCAGAAGGGTGAGATGGCGTATGGAGGACATGCTCCTGTCCCTCTGCCCCTCTATTCCTAGCACCTAGAAATGACAGAAGATGCATTTTTAAAAAATGTCATGACAGCACCAAATGCTCTTTATGGGCAAGATATGGAGGGATTCTTAAAAACTCTGAGAAGGCAGAGATATTAAAGGAAAAAAATCCATAGTGAAGAGGACACATTGCAAAATGTGGCATCAGCTATGGGGCATTCCATGCTCTGAAGAGAAGGGTACCAAGGATAAGGGGGAGCCAATTACTGGGCAGGGCTATGGCCGGCTGCAGGGGTGGAAGGACCAGGCGGGCTCTCTCATCTCCCTCCCATGCAAGTGTCTGATCTTGGAGTTGGGGTGATGTGTATGTGGGTGCTGGGCTCCGGAAGCCATGCATGATGCCAGTTGCTACCAAGAGCAAAGCCTGCCTTGCCATACTTCCTGTTTCCCCCATGCCTAGAGGCAGCAACCAATCAGATGCATTTCCTCAAACATCTGACCAAGGAGACAGAGTGGGGCCCGGGAGATGCTCTCTGGCCCTGGAGTTGAGATCACACAGAGGTTGGACCAAGATTGTCCCAAATCACATTCAAGAAAAATTTAGGGAAGCAGAAATTAAGGGCTAGGCAAAAATGGTACAGATTCAGAGAGAAGCAGAGATAAGTAGGAGGCAGGGAGAGGTAGAGGGAAAGAGAATTCAGGAAGGGGATTGATGACTTTCCAGTCCCCTTGGGAATCAGTTCAGAGGTATATACTGGCAGGGGTCTCATGAGACTTCCTTTTCTATGGCATCAGTTTCCTGTTTGTAAAAGCTGAAATGAATGGACTTGCCCTTTTTCCTTCTAAAGAATTTCTGATTAAGACACAAGCTAAAGTCCGATTCCAAAGAATACCATCATGGCTCTCCAGCAAGATAGCTCTGGGCAGTCTTGATATTTTTTGCCTTGTCTTTCTCCTTTTAATATCAATAAAATTATAAGTGTGTGTCCCCTGGGGATATAAAGAAGAATCAGCTTTGCATCATAAAGCAGATAGTAGCAATCTGGCACTTTTTTTGAGGGCGGGACCTACTTGACGGGCTTAATGGCTACTCTTAGCTTTCAGATAAACAAAAAATGATTATTTTTAGTATGAATGGTCTTAAAATTTATATGGGACAAACTTATACTAAAAAATTTATCTATGGTTTTGTGAGAAATTCAAATTTACCTGGGTGTCCTGTATTTATATTTGTTCAATTTAGCATTCTATCTTTGCTTAGGGACAGCACTCCATTTTAATTTTTCTTATACTTCAATTATTTCTTATTTTTCTCACACAACAATTATTCATTTACTAGATATATCCTGAGCACCTTGGAGGCTGGAGTTATGCCTTATTTTCCTTTGAATTTCTGCTTCCTGATGCCAGACCTGGAACAAATGGTTTATGAATAAAGCAGAACTTAAAATTCTCAGCCCCATTTGCAAAGTCTGGGTGAGGCCAGTAGCCCCATTTACTGCTGTGAGTTACAGATTTCTTGAGCTTAGAGGGAGAGTTCTTCTGGGTTCTGTGATCTCATAACCATTCTAACAGAGCCACATCCAGAGGCCATCAAGACAATCTATCCGAGAAACAGTGTGCACGGTACCTTACAGATGTCACTCCACTGTCCAGGACCATTGTCATTGATGGCTCTCACTTTGAACAGATATTCCGTGTTGGGCGTTAGATTGTGTAGTTCTATATTCTGCTGCATTATGTCCCGAATTTGTCCACAGAGTTCTGTCCGCACATTGTTAGGAGGGGTAGTGACGAGTTCATAGAATTCCATCTCAAAAGAGTCCACGTCTTCTGTTGGGCACGTCCAGTAAACCTATGGGAGAAATGAACATGTCCATGTGGTGCTAGCTGTACTGGTCCACATCACTCAGCCTTCTTTCCCATAAAGATTTATACTGTTAACAATCTGTGGGGCAACTAACCCCAGCCGCTGTAGCTGCTGAGGGCTTTGTATTAGACCCTGTGCCACAGTCTTGGATGAGCCTGGCTTGGTGCTTGTGATGGCCTTCAGAAACAGAAAAATGCTACTCTGGGGTTTTATTGTCAGTCAACATGGAGTTGACAATTATCCTTTAGGCACCACTAACAAAAGCAGCTACTATTTACTGAACACCTGCTATGCATCAAATTCCGTGTCAGGCATTACCATCCTTGATTCACGTAATCCTCACAACTCCAGGAAGATGGACTGTATTATCCCATTTTGTAGACCCAGAATGGATACATTTAGCAAATTTCAGTGGAACCACAGAATCCTTTAAGATAAGGAGCTTAACTATCCCAATCCCTATATTATACCCAAGGAACTATCCAGAGTGGTGAAATGACTTATCCAATAATGGTGAATCCATGATCATATTCAAAACACAAAATATCAACTCCTGGGAAGAGATATATATTAACAAGTCTCAATTAGCAGATGGTATCTGGGATTACAGTATCTTATAATAAATGTATTTTCAAAGCAGATATCTAATGCTTAAAATTTTAATGTTATGAGAGAAAATTTACCATTTTACAGGTATACAAATTTTACAAATGAAGTTATAAAACTTAATAAAAATTAACATAATTTTTTCTGACTATCAAAACAAACATACTTATTGTAACTGGAAAATACAGAAAAAGTAGAAGGGAAAAAAATAAGTAATGCTCATAATCCTGCAATCCAGTTAGTTCACTGTTATATTTTTCTAATATTGGAATACACACAAATATGCAAATACTTTTAATTTAGATTATGTTGTATTGATTCCTTCTTTCTCTCACTTATTGTATTTTATATATTTTCTTTATCATTAAATATTCAGCAAAGCACCGTTTTTAAAAACTGCTCCATAAATAATTGACTCCTTCTACAGCTGAACATTTAGGTTGTTTCTAATTTTATACTCTAATAATAAATACTGCAATGAACACATTTGGACATGAATCTTCATTTGAATTTTTAATCATTTCTTAGAAAGGAATTTCAGGAAATAAAGTTGAGTTTAAAAATCTCTAGGGTTTTTACAAAACATATTAACAATTTACAAGAGTATTTTCTATGCCAGAATCTTAAACATTTGAGAGAGTCGTCAATACAGAGTTTATCTTTTACAGGGTGGAGCACCATGATTCACACGTGAGCTCCATCCCACAATTCTAATAGGGATCAGTGAAATTTTTACATCAAATATCACTGTCTGGCAGTAGTGTCCCCTCTTGATTGTCAGTGACTTGACTGCTTGTTCTGGGTAGGCCCTCTCCTATGTTCATTCTGGGAGGACTGATAGGTGGCATGGGGTTACTATCCCAAGCCCACATAGAGAGCAGTCCCCCAGCCCCTTTTTGTTACAGCGTGATCCTGCTAACTCCCAAAGAAGTCTGAGTGGACTTGGAGATGAGACTTACTGCCATCCATGAGCTGATGTCACCCACAGTGTAGGCCTTGCTGATTTAGTACCATTTGGATATGCAATTTAGCTGCTAAGTTATGTGCACCTCTTATAGGAAAATCAGGGATGCTTTCTTATAGCATCTGGGAGGACATGTTCTACCTCACACTGAATGGTCATTCTAAGTGTCAGTTATAATAGACACCAATCATAGAGGATGACACTTCAGGAGAATGGGAGATAAGTTTGCCTTGTTTCTGACCTTTGTTTTCTTATTTTTAGACCTTCCTAAGTGCAGTCTGTAGATAGCAGCATTGGCAACACTTACAAGTTTTTGAGAAGCACAGTTTCAGGCCCCACTGAAAGAGAATCTGCATTTTAGCAAGATCTCCAGGAGCAAATTAATGTTTGAGAAACACTAGTTTAGACTTTGAGGATACTAATCGTACTTAGGGGTATTCCTAGATTATGGGGACAAAAGATGGGCTCTGCCACATGGAAGCAGGCCATAGGCTGGTGAGGGAGGTAGCCCTGCAGGGACCCTGAAAAAGAGGCAAGACACACTCTAATGGGAAATCAGGCTACATGTTTTCTTTTTTGCCTCTTTGAATTTTAATAAAGTATTTCATAAGCAATTCACTTTAGGTTCAGCTGGATTGAATATTTGTCCATGTCAGGTCAGGAAGGTCAAAGGGGAGTCATGTCTCTTGAGGTCAGATCATGAAAGTTGTGGAGAACCATGAAAGACCCCACTCTCCACCTTTCCCCTCACTAAACAAAAAGTATCTCAGGAGATATGAGTTTTAATTCTGTTGGGGATGATGCTCCAGTTGTTCCAAATCATGATGAGTCTGGCTATTTTCTTGGGGGAAGGTAGCAATTTGGAAGAATCCAGGGTAGACAGGTAATGGAACCTGGGTTTCTGACTTGTTTCTGCACCTTTCCTTTGGGAAATGTTTCATTCTTCAAGCAGTCTCTTTAAACTCCTTTGGTCCCAACTTGGGATCTCTTTCAATACAGGGGCCATCTTTACAGGGGGAGTGGGGCTTTCCAATGCATTTGTGACTATGAGCTAAATACACGGTTTGGTTTAAGCCAACCTTGGAAGATTTCAGGAACTTCCTATTTTTGAATGGGCTGACCACACAGCCCAGAGAAGCAGAGAGGGTTGACCAGATCCTAGAGGTCAGAATGGTATGGACACCCTTTCCCAACTACCCACTTCCCTCCTGTGCCCTATCCCTCCCCATTTCTTACCTTGGCAGCTCTTGGATACACCAGGGTCTGGTAGATAATGATGGGGCCTGGGGTCTTCACAGAGGCGTCATTGAACGAGTACCAGTTGTGGAAGCTGCTGCTGTTCTGAGGGGCCTGGTTGTCGGCCGTGGCACTCCAGTAAGTGTAGAGGCCATCTGTGGTTTTGGCGGGAGCAGCAGACTGGGCTCTCCCACAGACCTCAGGACCCCCCTTGGCCTTCTCTGAAGCAGTGTTGAAGGACAGTAAGGAGGAGCTTCGCTGGTATATCTGCTGGTTGCCAAAGCTGTGGGTACTAAATGTGACCTTCCTGGCAATCATCATTTCAGAGTGCATGGGGTAGGGGGAGGGCAGAGAATCGCCTGAGGAGCATACCTTCTTGGGTCCTGTGGGGAAGAGCTGGTGCATGGCGCTGGAGAGCTCAGCAAAGTCCAAGGGCATGCAGTGCAAGGAGTGCAGCCGTAGATGGGGGTCAGGCCTGAAGGTGCTCTGGATGCCATCCTCGATCTGGTCCACCAGGATCTTGGCCGACTGCAGAAAGGCTACCTGGCCTGTCTCCTTGAGGGCCTCCTTGGAGTAGGCTATGAGGCCATCCATTTCGTTCACTTTCATGGTCGTGACGTACACATATTTCTCAATCTCCTTCTGCCTGGACACTTCTAGATTCTCTATCTGCTCCATGATGTTCTTCTCCTTTTCGTGAAGAATGCTGCGCAGCTTGAGAAACCCATTTCTGATCTCTTTCCGCTTTGCCTCCTTGTCAGATTTAAAACTGTTTTTTAAAATGTTGAACTCCATGAGGTCATTATCAATTTCATATCGGACTGCAAAACAACCAAGTTAGTTTCTGTTAAAATGTTCCTCTGCCCATGGACTGGGGCTGGAGCTCAGCGGCAGAGCGCTTGCCTAGTATGTATGAGGCCCTGGGCTCTATCCTCAGCACCACATAAAAAGAAATAAAATAAAGGCATTCTGTCCATCTACAACTACAAAAATAAAATAAAATAAAATAAAAAAGCTCCTCTCCCCAGATGGCTCAGCCACAGCAGGCTGCGGCAAACACCCTGGGCTTCAAGGACTGAGGGAGCGAGAAGGGAGTCACTTGTGGCTGGGCTGAAACAGGAGCTTCTCTTCTTGAAAATTCAAGAAGGAAAGCTCCCTCCTCCTGGCCTCCTCCTCTAGTTCTTCCCTCAAGCACAACCACCCTCTCCGGGCACCTTCTCTGGTCAAGGTGATCCCTGTGACCTTGAAGCTGAGATTACAAGCTCAAGGCCACCCCCCATGTTAGTTTCTACCAGATTCCACTTGGTTGCAGGTTGGACTGGAGATGAGGTGAAGGCACAAAGTTACTGGGCCTTCTCTTTCCCTGCAGGAAATCTAAGCTTTTGCAGTGGCAGGAGATGAAAGTTCTGATAACTGCTTGGTATTATTATTTTTTCATCTATTTAGGTGCATTATAATTATACATACTGGTGGGATTTGTTATCTGATGACTATTTGTAAATGCTGCCTAGTCTCATTCACCAGGAATCCAAAACCAAACAACAGCAGGAAATTAGCCACAGTTTTCCTCCATGGAGACAGCTAGCTCTCTTACACACCCTTTTTCTCTCTCGAGATTCAGCTATGTTCCCTTTCTTGCCTTTTCCCCATTCGTTTTCAAGACAGGGTCTATTGTCACACTTGAAGGAGAACAAATTCACCCTGGACCTTCTTATGTGGCATTTGGATCTTAAGTTCACCTAGTTATTCAGTCAACAGACATTAGGAGCCCTGCTACATACTGTCTTTTTAGGCACAAGAGATACAGGTGTGAATAGGAGAGGGCACCTCTCTTCATACACCTGACGGTACTGCGATAGGAGGATGCATGGGAGAGTGAGCATGAGGCCCATCTCCAACCTTTGAGATGAAAATATTTGTTGATTTTAGAGGGTTGTAGGCATAGGGGTCTCTATGATAGGTAAGATTCTCCACATAGAAGGCCACTGCTACACGGAATGGGTATATAATCCTCATCAAATTTTATTTAATAGTGAGGATTACTGGATTTATTTTGCTTGGCTCTTAACATCATCCTTGGTCCACAGGAAGCTGGGCTTCTGTGAATAGTGGCCATTGTAACAATGGTGTGCATTGGAGTAACAGAAAACATAGGGTTCCACTGGAGCATGAGAACAGGGACCACAGTTGCCACCATGAGCAGTAAGGGAGAGGTGGTCAAAAGTGCTTGTAATACCTTTGTAATATCTCTGGGGCAAATGTCAGCAATGTCACTTTCTGGCCTATTCCCCAAAGCCCCCATCTCTTCCCACCTTCTCCCTTACATGAGGCCATGCAGATTAGGCTGAAGGGAAAATCCTGGGGTCTAATTTCATCTAATTTCATCAGGGGCTTCAAAGTGCTCCTTGAACTCCCCAAATGCAAGCCTACTGTGACTTGTGGTATCTGAAATTCTATGTTATGCATTATTTTCTTTCACTAGTCAATAGCAATCCTTTGCTAATGATACTTTGGTAGGAAATTTCTGGCTTTATTGGGAATTAGTTAAGTTGATTAGAGCAAAGTCTGGAGGGAGTATAAAAATGTCTTAAATGAGCAAGAAGAGGCAGCACCAGGAGAGAAGAACAGAAAGACAGGGTTTGTTGTCACACTTGAAGGAGAACAAATTCATCCTTCATATAGACCCCATATAGAACAAATTCTTCTATCAATAGACCCCATATAGACCCAAACCTTACAAATATGATGGCTTAGCAAGAGCTGGAATTAGAGAAAAGGCAAATCAAGGTCTTTTTCAGGCAACACTGAAAACTAACTGCTATTTATTAAATATTTATTATGGACCAGATCCATGTATTATCATATATTATACATATTATGGACCAGATCCATATATTATCATATATTACATGGATCTTCCTATACAGTAAGCTATTATTCCCATTTATAGATGAGGAAACTAAGGTTCAGAGGGGTTAAGTGACTGCCCAGAGTCATGTGGCAAGTAAATAGGAGAAACTGGATCCTGTCCTGAATTCTACTTTTTTGGTCCCAAAGACTATGTTTTTGTGTGTGTGTGTGTGGTGGGGTGGTAATCAGAGATTGAACCCATCAGCGCTCAACAACTGAGCCACATGCCCAGCCATTTTTAAAAACATTTTATTTAGAGACAGGGTCTTGCTAAGTTTCTTAGGGCTTTGCTAAGTTGCTGAGGCTGGCTTTGAACTCCCAATCCTCCTGCCTCAGCCTCCTGAGCTATTGGGATTACACCACCACACCTGGCTATGTTCTTAATTGTACCTGTTGTCAGCTTTCTCTGAGCACCAGAATCACCTTGGGGGCTTTAAAAACACTGTACTCTCACCTTACTTGCTGATATTCTGAATCAATTGGCCTAAGTTGGGGCCCAGAAATTCTGGTGAGGCAGTTTCCAGCTAGATTTGGAATCTATTCCAGGGAATCTCCTGGGGCTCTTGCTTTAAATACAGATTTTAATGCAATAGGCCTGGGTTCAAGCTGGGATCTTGCATTACTAACAAGCCTGGGTGATGCCTGTGTTGCTGGTCCCCACACTTTGAGTAGCAAGGAACTAAATTTTTGAGCTTCCTCAGTGCAGTGGTTCTCAATCTCAAATGCATATTACAACACAATGGGGAGCTTTAAAATTATCCCTGTTGCTCAGCCTATTGGGACGGACAAGGGCATAAGTTGTTAGTGAAACTCTTGAACTGGATCTTCTCTGTAGGGCCCAGAATTTTTTTTTTTTAAACAAATGTGCTCAAGTCACCTGCTTTTGAATAACCTGGAGATGTGTTCAAAAATGCAGATTTATGGTACTCCCTATATGTGAGCCCAGTGGTCAAGAACAAGTTCAAACTCTGATTCCAAAATGTTGCTTTTGTTCCTTCAGCATTGATGAACAGATTAAATTATTTATCTATATCTGATATCTAATTTACCTATCAGCCCTGCCACCTTCTCAGTTTCTGGGCTTCCTTGAATTTGTGCTGGTATTGTCCCTCAACCTTGAATTGAACTTGGCTGTCTGACTTTCAGGTGTTCTAGATTCCAAGAAAACTATCTTAGTGTTGACTATCCTGTGTTAAGGACCCAGGTTACCTACAGCTGCATGGGAGCCACAGAGACTGTAGGCAGAAGTTCCTTCCCCATATTGAGACCCCAAAGAATCTGGTCAAGTCCTGGTTTGGGCAGGCAATGAGTCCCACCTCAAGAAAACCTTTTAGGAGCCAACCATTTTTCTGAGCAATGGGCCTCCTGCAGGCTTTCTTTAACATAAGACTCTCCTGTTGGAGGTTCCCAAGCTGAAGACAGTGTCAGTTATGTTCCCAGTGTGTGTCATTTGAGAAAATCATGTCACTCCTGAACTATCCAGGCTGCTGAGAGATCCTGGGCGACAAGAACAGGAACAAAATCTGTCTCCAACTCCCCTTAATACCTAGTGGGACCTTTCTGTGTGCTCAGGGCAAAGCCACCCCCTCCCTTGTGTTTGGGCATGTTGTTGCAGTGGGCAGCAAAGTACATGGCAGAGGGAAGGGGCTGGCATGATCTGGTGCCCCTGGTCACTGCCAGTAGGCCACTCCTTAAGGAAACAGACTACAGAAGTTAGGTTAGATTTTAGATCATGGCCACTGTTCAACACAGAGTGGGTTGTCAAATGAGTGCTGTGGCATTAATGTGGATAATGGAGTCAGATCTATGGGGTCTGCCTCTTATTAGCTGCCTCGTGTCGATTATTTCCTTGAAGCACAGTTGTCTTATCAATGGAGAGGATTTTGATGCCCTGTATTGTTGGATGATTGAGATGGGACATGACATGTTCCCAAGGCTTACGCACATCTGCCTTCTGTTCCTGGAGGAAAAGGGGATGCCCAGATTCCTCATACCTAACCAGATGGAGATATAGCCAGAAATTATGGGGCACTTTACAGGACTTTATGAACTATTATTGTACTTGTTTCCATGATAGAAGCCAAGGTCAGTTTTCCTTATAGAGACCACAACTAAATTCTATTAGCCAATATAAACAACTATGAACAGCCATACTCAGAAAAGACAAGGCATTGACTAGAATGTTCTTGGCTATTTTTGAGTTTCCCCATTATTATGTCTTAGTTATCAGTTCATTTACTTTGCTGTCTGCAACTCTGGGGAAAAGTTCATGGGAGGAGGAGAATTTTAAAATTGAACTGATTCTCAGCATTAGCTTATTTATTTCCCTTTTGCAGACTAAGGGGAGGGGGGGATAGAAATCCAAGTTCACTGACAAAACACCTTGAAAAGGGTTACAGAGCTTCAGGACACTATATGATCATATTCTTCATTTTTCTTGGGAAAATGAGGCCGGCCGGACGTACATATCGTTCCTAAGCTTGTTTATTTGTTTTTTCTTCTGTCTGGTAGGTTTTTTTTTTTTGTGTTTGTTTATAAGCATGTTTATTTCTTCCTGCCAGCCAGTGAGTGAGTTACTTTCTAGTCTAATCCCATTTTATAGATGAGGAAACCGAGCCGCAGTGAGGCTGTGGCTGGTGGAAGCTGTCAGTTTTGGCCCCCCGGCTTTGCGGGGGGTTTGGTTTTCCCAGGTCTGGATCCCTCCACGAGGTGGAGACCAGGCTCTCTCTAACGGATGGCCCCAAGCCACCTTCCCATCAGGCCCTGAATTAGGAGGGGGTGAGAAGTGAAGCAAGACCTGCTTTGAACTTGGCGATGGCACTGAAGAGGGCGGCGGCCCTCTCGGAGCAGGCGTCTATGAGGCTGATGGTGTCGTGGCCGTTGTGGAAAGCGATCTTGCAGAAGGTGCAGAGCAGCTCATTGTCGTTGCGGCAGTACTCATTGATGCGGCTGGACGGGTGGTGGATGCAGATCTTCTCATCCTGGTCCTCAGGGCTGGTGTCCACGAAGACGTGGTCCTGCATGGCCACGTCCGCGTGGAAGGCCTTGAGACAGTCGTTGCATAAGTTGAGGCGGCAGGTGGTGCAGCGCTTGTAGGCGATGCGGCGGCTGCGGCATACCTGGCAGTTGATGGGCCCTGAGGAGCGGTCGAAGCGCCACCTGAGGTAGCCATGCTCCTGCATGTAGCGCTTGGTGAGGCGCCCGCGCAGATAGTTCTCGGGCAGCTGCATCTTGTGGCTGTAGGGCATGCAGTGCGAGCGGTTGCACACCGGGCAGATGAGGATGAAGAAGTTCTCCGTGACCTCGGCGTGTTTCTGCAGGTGCCGCAGGCACTTCTCGCACAGGCTGTGGTTGCAGGGCAGCATGAACGAGTGCAGGCGCAGCCGGTTGCACATGGGGCAGGTGAGGTGATCCACCAGGTGACTGCTAGCTGGTAATGACCTCACCTCATCCAACTGTGGGTCGCTGCTCCCCACCCGCAGGGCAGTCTTGGACCTGAAAGGAGACCCACAGGGCTTCAGGAGACAGGCTCAAGAGCTGGCTCCATTTCTCAACTTCTGCCAGTTCTGTTGCTGGGCAGCAGCTGAGGGGGGTAGGGAGGACATGGGCTCCTGCAGGAAGCCTGGTTTCTAAGCCTGCCTCCACCCCTTTTGTCTGGGTGACCTCAGGTAAGAAAGTAACCTCTCCCTGTCTGTTACTTCATGAAGTTGGTACCCAGGCCACTGAGTTTCTTGAGAGGATTAAATTTGAATTTAACACCTGTAAGGACCTAGAGCAATCCTCGTAGGACTGTAGCACTCCAATTACTTGCGGTTATTTTTTGAGCAAGGAAAAAGCAGGACACTGGCCTGGCACTGACAGATAGGCCTTGGCATTCTGCTGGACATTGGTACTATCCCAGAACACCAGCATCAGACAGGGCCCATGTGTGACTGTGAGAGATTAGGGCAGAAGCAAGACCACTTCCTCAGGCTGGAACTCAGACAAGAACAGTGTCCAAACCACAAAAATGACCCAGCATCCTCTTATCAGAATTAATGGGAACGAGTGCTGCTTTTTTTTTTCCCCTCAATTACAGCTCTAGGCTCACTCTGTTCTTCCCACCTTCTAGATAAGATTTATTAAGATAACCAATAGAAAAATTACCTCCATATCCTAAGAAGAGTCCAAATCCCATTATAACTTACTGATGCTTTCTTACCAAGATAACGTACACTGGCCCAGGAGATATGTTCTCACCTGTTGCAATGAGTCAGTAAATCCGATCTTGCCAGTTACAGGTGTACACTTATGCTCTGTCTGGGGGGCACTGACATTGTCACTATTATTGTATGTAGGATGGGACATAGGGGAGGGTGACTAAGTGTCCTTCTCATGACACCAGGAGGTCAATACCCGGGACAGGCCTAGAACCCCTATGGTCTGACTCTGGAGGATCAGGGCCTGGGCTCCTGGGGCACTTCCGATGTGATAGAGGGTGCCACTTCAGAGCTGCACATTTGACAAGGGTTTCTGAATATCTCATCCTCTGTTTCCTTCTCTATATTGAAGCCCACAATGCTACTTCCTTCATGAGGTTGTCAGGAAGTATAAAAGAGGGAATCTATATGAGGTGCGTAAGTGCTGGCGGATTGTAAGCCTCTACAGTGACTCCCCTCTGCAACCACCCCCTAATGTACACAGTAGAGAAGGAACTAGAGGTCAGGTCCCGGAAAGCATGCACGTCTACTGTTGTGCATGTAAAGGTTCTTTGTCTAACATCTCAAGTTCATATATTTAATTATAAGAACTACAAAAGGAGGGATAACGTCCTTGTAAATTCAAGTGCACAGGCTTAAGTTACAGTCAGAGCAAAAGCAGTTAATGAAAGTAAGTGATTTGGCTATGGGAACGGAGGTGGGGACAGCGACACCCTTTCTGACTGTCCGTGTCTTTTCTTTGTTCACAGAATGTTTGGTCTGGACCCTAGCTAGCTGGGCTTCCTTTGCTCTTACCTTCTCACCTTCTCTGTGTCTCTGTCTTCCCTGGCCCAGGGGCCTGGGTCTGGGAGCCCAGGCAATCAGAGCATTTGCCAAGCAGCCTGGAGAGACTGAGAGCCGCTCACTTCTGCAGGCTCGGGCACCTGGAGCTTCATCCCTGAGCACTGGGAGGCTGGGTGCAGCCTAGGGGCCCACTGTCCTCAGTTCTTTTTCCTCTTTGCCCCGAAGCCTCCTGTGTGGGCCCCTAGGGACAGGCCTGTCATACATGGGGGAGCAGATGGCCTTCTTCACTTAATAAAAACATAGGACTCTGAGAAGCGGGGTAGGACACACAGGGGAACTGCATAAGGAGTCAGAAAGAGGGAGGGAGGGAGGGAAGAAGGGAAGGGTTGTGAGAGGAAAGAGTGTCCAGGCTACGGGACAGGTGTCAGTGGCCCATAGAGCTGCAGCAGAGATGGAAAAGGAAGGGAGAAAGAGAGGCCAGGGGTAGAGGAAATCAGAATAAGGTGGGATGGCCAGCTGAGCAGGCGTCAGAAGCTGGGAGAGGAGCCTTGGGAGATGGAACACAAGCGCCCCAGGCCCCCGGCACCTGATAGCCTCTTGCCCACCCTCCCAAAGATTCAGGTGTGGAATGGGCATTCAGGGACCATGCTTCCATGTCAAAATAAATCCCCAAGCCCAGCATCCTGACTTCTTGCTGAACCCTCCTGCCTCTGCTCTCTGCATAGATCCCCTGCCTCTCCCCAACCCAGGCCAGTTCTCTTTGCACCTGGTTCTCTCTGTCTCACCTGGCTGGCAAGTCTCCCAGCGTCCCCCTCGCCCCCTCCAGGCCATTGTGCACCTTGAAATTACCTGAAGAGCATTTGCCAAGCAGGCTATGTTGCTTTGGATGCCCTAGTCACATCCCAGATTAATACAATCAGAATATTTAGGGTGGGGATCAGGCATGGATAGTTTTTAAAGATCCCCAGGTGATTTCAATCAATTTACAGCAAAATTTGGGAGCTACTGATGCCTAAGGCATCTTCCCAAAGCACCAATTTCATCCCTCTCCATTTGAAATGGGCTCAGGGACTCTCCAAGGCTGGGCAATTGAGAGAGAAGACAGGAGCATGCACATTACTGTCCACACCTTAGAATTCCTGGATTGCATGCAGAATCTCTAGATTCTCTATTCATGCAAATATCATGAGAAGGCCCTGGTGAAGAGTAACATTTATTGAGCATCTACTAAGTGCTGAAATATATAACGAATCATATTCTTCCCCCAGATTCACAAAAGCTTTGCACACAGAATATTGCTTTTCCAGCCTTGAAAGCCTTAGAATCTGCCTCCCAGTGTTCTGTCCCTCCTAATCGTGTCACTGAACTATGAACTTGCCTCCTTGAAGAAAGCCATATAGAAGCATCTGAGATTCTTATCTAGGTTCCTGGGGTCAAAAGTGGCCCATAGAAGTTCTTACTTTTCCAAATATGTTGCAAATATCAAAAGTGCTTACAAGGAAGAGGAACAGCAGTTCATATTTGACTGTCACATAAGAGACGACAAAGCACATACATTAGTCCTCCTACCACCACGACATGACAGGTGTCACTGTCTCCATTTTGCTGTATGGCACTTTAAAGTGCAGATAGTAGGCTCTGGGTTCAAATCCTGACTCTGCATCCTACTAATTGTGTGATCCTAGGCAACTCCACCTCTCTGAGATTCCCTTTCCTCAGGGTTCAGAGGCACAGGGAAAGGTTAGGGGGGTCACACAGGCAGTGGCTGGCGGTTGCTCACACACTCAGCCTTAGCTATGAGGATTCTGTACAGTAGAGGGAGTGGGGCTCAGAGGGCCAGCACCCATTTGCATGGTTAACAGAGCTTGGATTTGGATCTCAGTGTCACTTGGTTAGTGGCTGTTTAGGATACACTGATTTACTACAGAATTCTTGCTCCTCTCTTTCCAGACTTAGAAATGGACTCAGGGAAACACTGGTCTGTCCTGGGCACCCCTCCACTGGTGTGAGGTCCCCTGTTTTCCTGAGCCAGTGGGAACCCACATGGGTGCCAGCACTTACGAGGTGCGAATGCTCTTGAGGCGACCTTTGTGGAAAGTGACGGTGGCGTTGCGGCAGCAGCGGCTCTCATAGTAGTAGCACTTGATGTTGCCGGTGGCCGTGCAGCAGCACTTACAGTTGGGGTCATTGGCCCAGGAGCAGCAGCACCAGTGGCAGTTGGGGTTCTCAGCGCAGGTGCAGTGGCAGAACTGGCAGTTCCGCTCGTCCTTGTAGGGGCAGGGGAAGCAGGTGCAGTTCCGCTCCGAGGTGAAGATGAACTTGCAGCACAGGCAGGAGCACAGCCGGGGACAACACCTCTGCCATGTGCAACACGGGGAGCAAACGCACATAGCGGTGTCTACGATTTCCGCCATGGTGGCCACCGGGTCCCCAGGGACCCTGACACCTCCTCTACCAGAATCCTCCTGTCCGTTCTACGATGCAAGGTCCCTGTCCTCTCGTGAGGTAGTCAATTTGGGGGTTGCGAGAAGCTGGCTATTGATGGGACCTTCACAGGTGGTGTCCCTACAAGAAGCTCATGGGCTGGCATCCACATCTAGCAGCTGGGGGCATTTGCTTATGTCACAATCCCTGCTCCCCACCATATCTCACCATGCAGGGCAGGGAGCAGGGACACTGGGGGAGGGTGGTAGGTGGGTTGACAGACACTTCGTGCTTCCCCTGGACCAGCTCCAGAGCATGGTGATGCAATAAGCATCCCGGAGGCTTAGCTGTCACTTGTCACCTTTCAGGTTACGGGGCAGATTTTAGAAGCTGTTTCTCCTTGCTCGGTGCTTTTCCTGCTTCAGGTATGTCTTCTTTAGTGGTGAGGCCAGGGTAT